TAATTATTATTGATGAGTTTTAGTTAGTGATTCCCATTATTATTAATATTAAAATAAGTACTGTAAATCCTCAAATAAAAGCCGGGTGCAAATAAACGCTGGGTCAGCAATAAAATGGAACTATAAATATGCAAATGTAGCATACAAGTATAACAGATGCCTTTTAGATACTTGGTTAACCATCCTGAAGTCACCTGCCTGAGGTCCCGAGTTCGAATCCTGCTGTTGACTCAAGTATTACTTTCTTTTTCACTTTTTTGGAGGTCCAAATGTCATTTTAAGAAATAGACGCCCTGGCTTTTATTTGAGGATTTACAGTAATAAAATTATAATTATTAATGGACCCCTCATTATTAATAACACTAGTGACATTAATAGCATCATTAATATAATAAGTATAAACACCTCAAAACAAGTATAGTGATGATACTTCTCTTCTACAGCAACTCTACCTTTATAATAACTCGTATCATAGGAATCTCACAGGAATCATTATTGATAGTACAATAATCATACATGCACATATACTTATTTAATATTCTTTCTTAATAATGAATGGTGTATCATTTATAGTATGTTGAGTAATAAGGAATGGGCAATTAATTCTTGATTTTATCTTGACTAATTATTATGTGATACTTTGGTTTAGATGTCACATGTCTCCACTCCTTTTACAGTTATTATAATATTTCTATACTTGATGAAGCAGTTACTGGCGTCACAGGGCTGGGCATTATGCTGTGAAGGGAATCAATGAATTTTTTAGTATTTTGTTTTAGATTAGCATCACTTGTTCACTATTATAGTGACAGCAGGTTAGTCTTGTCAATGTGGCTGGAGCAGATTCCCAGCCAAAGGAAATAATACGCTTACCTGAGGAAATTTCTAAAGGCACTTTATCTGGTCAGTCTAAAGAGGACAACTCTGGTATACAACATGTTGATCAGCCAAATGATACTCCATTAGATGTTGCTTCTCAGTCTGAAGAGAATGGATCTGAATGTAGAAGTTGAAGAAACTGAAGAGGAAAGTGAGGAAATTAAGCAAAAGATAGAAACACTGCGTCAAAGAGAAAATCCAGTCAATATATTAGTTATTGGTCCTACTGGCTCAGGAAAATCAACACTTATTAATAATATGATGGGAGGTAATGTAGCAAGAGTTAGTCATAGTATGGAGTCAGGGCAGTCTCTAGCTCAAGTACATGAAGGGGAACACAAGGGAATAAAGATAAGGGTTTATGATACTGTCGGGTTTGGTAATAGTGAAAGCCAAGTTAATTCTAGTATTTTAAATGCACAAGGCAATTTCAATCTAGTCCTCTTGTGTATAGATATTAATGGGAGAGCTAATCGCAATCTGCGAACTATTTTATCTGATCTTAAATCTAATTTGCATATTGAATTATGGAAGCATTTGATTGTTGTACTCACACATACAAATCTTTATATTGATCAGCAGAATAAGTCAGTAGCTGAGAAGAAAGCAGCTGTAGAGAAGAGGATTACCGAATTTAAAAGACGCATGTATTCTTTGATTTCTAGTCATGTCAATAGGGATACTTTTGATAAAATAATATTTTGCACTGTTGGAACTAGGAGGGATAGAGAAATTAAACCTCTGTTAGAAGAGAACTGGCTCCACTCATTGTGGGCATCATGCATTGATTGATGCAGTGAAGAGTCACAACCTTTTATGATGGGTTATGCTGAGTATATTCTTGGTAAAAGATCGTTTCGTTCATACTATGCCAGGTTCAGGAGAAATCAAGAGAATCTGAAGAGTCAAGATAATCAAGGGAATGAAGGAGGTCAAGAAAATTGGTGTCTTATATT